CTCCAGTGGGAATTGAACTTGTACTCAACCGCTTGGGGGTACGACAACTTCACCACTTCACTAAGTCGCCACACCCTATCTCTAACAGATTATTTAACCACTTTACCTCTTAAATGCCACTAATAATTATATTGATTTAGGAAAAGTTTTGAAAATTTCTTCTTTAGAATCAGTGTTTTTGGTTACCAAAGACAATAACCATTCAAGGTTGTTTTTAAAAGACTATCTCTTAAAAACAGTACCTTCAATTACCAAGACAACAACCATTTAAGGTTGTTGCTTAAAAAAACTATTTATTAGAGACAGAACCTTTGACTACCAAATACAACAATAATTCAAGGTTGTTGTTTAAAAAAACTGTCTCTTAGAGGCAGTGTTTTTGGCTACTCAAAACAGCAACTATTCAAAATCTATCACAAAGTTGTAGCAATTGTGAGCTTGTATTTACTAAATATTAATATTAAATAAGTACTTAAATTTTATATTTTTAAAGTACTTTAAATTTTAAATACTTGCTAAATATAAAAATTTATATTTATTAAATACTTAATTTTTAAATATTTTATAAGTACTTATAATAAATATTTGTAACTATATCCTAACATACCTTAGTCCCAATAAATGCTTGCTAAATATTAAAAAATATTTAACAAGTACTTACTAAGCACTTTGATAAACTTTGTGATATCGTTGCTTAAAGAAGACCATCCTTTAGAGACAGCACCTTTGGCTGTCAAAGAAAACAACCATTCAAGGTCACTTCTTAAAAAGACTATCCTGTGGATATGCATATACCCGAATTTTTTGTATCCTCAGTTTTTATGCCACTTATAACAACTATAGCAGGAAAAAAAGTTAAATAATGACTATATTTTTTATTCAAAAAATATTAACAACCCGAAGAACTCAGGTTGTTTCTCATTAAAGGTTCATATATAGAGGACCAGCGATACCAGGAAATTACAGAAAAAATCACCGATTATATATATTATACCATCATCCCTTATTTCGAATTATTTAACTGCTTTTTCCCTGATTTCCTCTTCCCCATACTATAAAAACAAGCGATTTTGTCGCATTTTGACTTTCTCGTATAATAGGGTGCGCAAATTTGGATCAAATTGAACCTAAATTCCTGGTTACTCACTAATAAAGTTAGGTTACATTAACCTACTGTAACCTAAGTGCGATTTGGTGTAACATGAAAATTATCGATTTTTTAAAAGATCGACATGGACACAGCACGAACCAGTAAATTAACCTTCCTATCTTAAAAGCTCCTTTTAAACATCAATCCTAATGATATCTAAATACAAAAAATGGGAGCTTTATTCTTGTTAATTAATGAGCAAGACGACAAAAACTTCATCCGCAGCAACCTTCTACTATTAGAGTTCACGTTAAAAATCGATATTATCTTAAGTTGAGTTGGTAAGAACTTTTTTCGCTTTAATATTTGTACTCACGTGGCCAAGCTATGCAGAAACCTTAATAGTTATATGTTACGATATGAAATAGAAGTTCTTACTACTTACCTTACAATTCTTCTATTTGCTACTCACGTGGTTCAGGTCGCGTGAACCTCTTTCTATTATCCTGTCAAATATTCGCGTCTTTTTATGCAGATCTATGTCAAATACATGTATAGCACAACATAACCTTGATGTAATGAAGGGACTATTAGTTTTAGATTTTTAGAAATTCGCTATGTATAGATCTATTAATGATTGTAATAAAGCTTATTTACAGTTATTCTAAAAGGATATGAACGAAATCTCCATATACTTATGAAGAAATTTGGGAATGTAAATAGTTTTTCGGTATAATTAGTAGCGTTTATCATTAAAAGATCAAAATTAAACTTGGGAAACTCTGTGGGTTAACTACTGCGGCGACATCAGATCTCGCTTCGAGGTAAATACCCTTTTTTGTCTTAATATTGTGCAGTTGGTTTTAAAAAGCACTTTTTTTTATTACTTTACATCATTGTTTATAATTTAACATATTATATCATTTTTAATTGATTTGATTTTTATTATAAATATATTTTTAGGCATTATTATCATTACAATCACAAAAAATCAGTTAGATACTAGAATTTAAAATTAAACATCAAATAATGATTAATCGATACTACCATATACAGTAGCTGCATATAGTACTCCCGTATTTTTCAAAAAAAAAAAGCCAAAATAAATTAGATCTTATTATGTGAAGAGGGGAATACTATACAAAGAGGCATATTGAAGAATGTATTACTATGTGTTTATTCCTGATCGAACGGATTTGTTCAGATCAGCTCGAAAAAAGATTTGGTCTTAATCTGGTTAATACAAGATCCAGGTTAATTGAGAAAGGGTGTCGCTAGGGATGGTAAAAAAACATTTTTCACCGTTTTAAAACATGTGATGCTGTGGTCAGAATATATTAAATTTTAAAA